AAGAGAATACTTTCTCTTTCTCTTTCTGAACACATTAATAGACAGAGAAATAGGTGCAGTATGTTATCACAAGCATATACAAGTGGGTATTTATTTAAATGGTGGGTCAGGATCTGCGATCTAATATCTTGCGTCCGTGAGCTCTATACTCTTTGCTAAGAATATATCTTTCTTTCATTTAACATAGAATCCTGACAATATTATCACCAATATAGTTATAGACAGAGAAATAAGTACATTATCTTATGGTAAGCGTGGCATGGAGCGGGATCTGCGATCTTAAAAAAGTATATCCATATGTGTTCTTATTCAACGTCAACAACCAAGTCAAGGTCTACCTAGAACAAAGAAAGAGTCATCGCCTGAGTCGAAATATCCAAGTCCGTATCTGTGAACGACTCGATCTCGCAAACTACGAGAACTAGATACTAAAAAAAATATAAAATATAAATCCTCATATATCCCAAGCTTAACTAGTTTGTCATTTTTTGTCATTATCTCCTCGCATTCCCAACATTTTGATAGGAATCTGTCTTGACGCGTAGAAAAATATATGAGATAGATGAAGAATAAAATATTTTTGCTTTTTTGCATTCCTATCACACATTTGAAATCGGAAATCTTGACATAATGATCGGACTATAAACACCGAGGCATACGTATGTATGTGTATGTATGTTTGTTTCTATTGAAGGAAAATGTTTGGAGGGCTAAGTGGGCTAGGTTGGGTAGGGGGTATCTTCTAGTCGGACACTCCTACTTGTTTTTGTGGTACTCTTCCTTTCTTTCGATCTACTAAGGATCAAGTTTCCTCTAAGATCAGCTGTTTGCTACGAAATACATGGTATTTGCTAGTTGGGCCCTCTCGACTAGCGCATTCTTAGTTGTTATAGTCTTCCTCGGGTTAAGTTTGATGCATTCGTGTCTGACTTTCCCGCCACACTCGGCCACAGCCGGTACAGCCGGCTCACAAGAGGTGCCTCTGGTGGTGGCAACGTTTAAAGTTCATGGCGGCAAAGGGGCAAGAGGCACAGCGTAATATGTGTCTCAAGAACATTTTTATTGCGACGACTTTGAAGCTACAAAGCTCCACAGTTTGGACCATAAAAAGTGTTCAATATATATGAGATCAGGATCTTGTGTAAATGGACTTTTAATTATCTAATAGAATATGGCAATCTGCTTTTTTTAATATGTTCAGAAACATTATTTAAGAACATTCTTCTTATGACGTTTTTTACTTATTTGAAGCTAAAATATTCCAAAAGATTGGACCATAAGAAGGGTTTAATTGAAGGTAAATTAGATCAGGATCTTGTGTAAATGGACTTTCTTTTTTATCTAAAAGAATATTGCAATCTCCTTTTTTGAATATATATCCAATATCTGTCCGGCTGAATAAGAATATATATATATATATACTGTATGGGATCGGAGAAGTCTCTTTTAAATGCGTTACACATGGCAGGATTAGAATACCCTCTGCAAGGCTATGAAAAAAACAGATGGTCCGTTTACTGAATGCGGATAGAGATAGAAACACATTCGACTCGACTATGCATCATATGCAATTCCCATTAATATCATCAGCCCGAATGCCGGATCCCGCACCCCGCACATGCCAATGCATATGCACTTGCCCGACCGACGACGACGACGGTGACGACGGTGACCTGACCCTAGGAGAGGGCGAGCCTTAAAAAGGTCAATTAACAACAGGTGAATAAGTGCGCGCGCGCGCGCCCTATATGCTCTGTCTGTATGCAGGTGTGTATGTATGACATTCATACTTACATACATATGTGCATGTATTTAGCTCGTGCGCGCTGCAACACGAAGGGACGAAAAAAGGTGGAGAGCCGGCCCAAAGAAATGAGCGGGAAAATATGATTATACGATGCACCTAATATAGCTAAGCTAGATGCAATTTGGTTCTATTAAGAATCGATGCGTACAACAAGGTAGTCTCAAGGAGTCCAAATGATCCTTAAAGGACTCTATCTAACAACTAGACTTGGGCCTGTGCACAAGTCTACTTAATGCAGCTATGCATTCGACTGCGAATATTCTAACAAACCTGTGGAGTATTTGAATATCCTATCAAACCTGTAGAGTATTCGAATACTCTAACAAACCTGTAGAGTATTCGAATATCCTAACAAACCTGTGGAGTATTCGAATATCCTAACAAACCTGTGGAGTATTCGAATATCCTATCAAACCTGTAGAGTATTCGCATACTCTAACAAACCTGTAGAGTATTTGAATATCCTATCGAACCTGTAGAGTATTCAAATACCCTATTAAACCTCTAGAGTATTCGAATATCCTAACAAACTGTGGAGTATTCGAATACTCTAACAATCCTGTAGAGTATTCGAATACCCTAACAAACCTGTAGAGTATTCGAATACTCTAACAAACCTGTGGAGTATTCGAATATCCTATCAAACCTGTAGAGTATTCAAATACCCTATTAAACCTCTAGAGTATTCGAATATCTTAACATACTGTGGAGTATTCGAATACTCTAACTAACCTGTAGAGTATTCGAATGCCCTAACAAACCTGTAGAGTATTCGAATATCCTAAAAAACCTGTAGAGTATTCGAATACTCCAACAAACCTGTAGAGTATTCAAATACCCTATCAAACCTGTAGAGTAGTCGTATACTCTAACAAACCTGGGGAGTATTCGAATATCCTATCAAACCTGTAGAGTATTCGAATACTCTAACAAACCTGTGGAGTATTCGAATATCCTATCAAACCTGTAGAGTATTCAAATACCCTATTAAACCTCTAGAGTATTCGAATATCTTAACATACTGTGGAGTATTCGAATACTCTAACTAACCTGTAGAGTATTCGAATGCCCTAACAAACCTGTAGAGTATTCGAATATCCTAAAAAACCTGTAGAGTATTCGAATACTCCAATAAACCTGTAGAGTATTCAAATACCCTATCAAACCTGTAGAGTATTCGTATACTCTAACAAACCTGGGGAGTATTCGAATATCCTATCAAACCTGTGGAGTATTCAAATACCGTATCAAGCCTCTAGAGAATTCGAATATCCTACCAAAGCTGTCTACTAAAGACTATATAAATATTTTCGAAAATATTTCGAGTATTTTGGGTTTTGTTGGCCTGGTATAAAACAGAGAGGGAGAGTGGGAGAGGTAGGGTTGGGAGGGTTTTTTGCCTACCTTGTTCTTGTTGGTTATGATAGCCAACATTGGCCTCGAGCTCTAAAAAATGTGTTTCTTTTTGTTTGAGGAGCAGGAAGTGCAATCGTTTTGTGGTTCCAGTTTAGCTCATAATCAACATGATTTGCCTCAGCATTATCATCGAGATTTCTTGTGCAGCGTTTTGTCAGACCTGTAAGCAGCTTGAACGTGCGCCGAGTCCGAGTCCCCACTACTGGTTACCGCATTTGATACTCTGTTTTCAGAGGAAAGTGAGGTATATCGGCATTAAACTCGACTCTCATATATTCGTCCTGTTTGACTTGGCTGTGACAAAGTAGGCTATGGGTATGAAAATATGAACATAGAGAGTAGCTCAATTTTCTCAAACACACTTCAGTTAATATTACTAAACTGTCCGAAAGCCCCGACTTATATTTATATAGTTTTTGTATACCATAAGCACACTTTTATATTAATTGGAGCGAGAGAAAGACGCGCTGTTGTTCCGTAAAGCAGTCGGCATTTGGTACAGGGTATTACTTTGTCGAGTTCTATTGATAGGAGAACCAAACAATCCATATATATCTGGGGAAAAGGGTATACTGATTTTGTGCAATTGTAGCTAAATTGCAGAAACTTCATCGAAAGCATCTCCGTATCCATAAATATATATTCATATTCAATTCATATTCATATTCAATTCTTGTCCGTCTGTCTGAACGGAACTTAAAATATTTGAAATATATAATAAAGTTAAAAAAAATAACTAAAAATAACTAAAATAAAATAAATAAAATAAAACAATTCAAATAAATTAAATGAATTAAATAAATAATATAAATCAAAGAAATAAAATAAAATAAATAAAATGAATAAAATAAAAAAAATAGATAAAATAAAACAAAATAAATAAAATAAACTTTATAAGAAAAAAGACTGTATTTTTACTGCTGATTAGAAATTAAATTTTCATAAAGAAATGTTATAATATATATATATATATAAATGTTATTATAATAAATATATATATATAAAATAAAATAAAATAAAATAAAATAAACTGTATAAGAAATAAGACGGTTTTTTTTACTGCTGATTATTATTATTATTTTTAAATTATTTATTATTTTTCATAATGAAATATTATATTTATATAATATATATCTATTATATATATATATACAAACGATATGACGCTTCAAAAATGTTTTTCTTACCTTTTGTTTTGTAATTATAATTATTATTATTATTATTAAGGAAGCGGTTATATATGTATAGGTAGCTCAGCACTTGGTTCAGGGTATCTGCCAGTCAGGTACGCCCGACTAGAGCACTCTTGTTGTTGTTGTTGTTGTTGTTGCCTGTCTACCTTGTGCAATACTAGTTCTGGCTGTCTGCCTGCTGCTCGCCTTTACCTTGTTGTATTCATCAGGTTGTAGTTTCGTGTTCGTGGCTCGAGCGCAAGGTAAAAAGGCAAAAAAAAAAAAACGGTTACCATCCGTTCCCCGTCCCCTGCCCCTCCGTCCTCCCTCCTCTCTCCTCCGTCCTCGGTTGCCCGGCTGCTGAGCTTGTATCAGCAGGCTTCTGAAATTCTATCGGTTACTGCCACTGCACTGTAAGTAGCACACTTTTCTCTAGTTATCTATAATTATGAATAGACAGAGCGGTCTGTGTGGATCCATCGAATAGGCGAAAAAAGCCCGAAGCCTCAGGCAGGGCATTTAGCAGATGCTAAGATTGTGTGGAACAGGTCAACTGAGTAACTGAGTAACTGATGTAGCCCACGTTCGCTTCGTTTTTGCAGGTATTAATGATATGCTTATAATGGAAATGCAGACGTCGCCACATCTTAGCCATGGGCTAGCGACACTCTCGCCGGTACACCACCTAGTACACCAGCATCAGCATCAGCATCACAATCAGCATCAGCACCAACACCATATTATCCATCAATCCCAAGCCCAAGCCCAGCACCAACAGCATCAACAACTCCCACAGCAAATGGGCGGCTCATCAACATTGCACACACTCCAAAGCAGCTCCACAGCCAGTGAGCACCTCCTCGCCGTCAGCATCAGCACCCATCAGCATCAGCATCAGCATAGCCAAGTCTATACCACGACATCGTTGGATGACAAGTCTAAGGGTAAGTTATTCCACTCACTTTTACACTTTTGTTGCACTTTCGCTCTAATCTTGTTAACGAGGCTCGAACCGGCTTCAACTTGTAATACATTCGTATCATATTTAATGTACGAACATAATATGGAATAGCCCATTCAAGAATATAGACTCATGATCACTTTTCAAATTATCTAAGCCAAACTGGGATATTAAAAACTTCCTACGAGTACTCAGAATGTAACTGAGTTGATTTATAGCCTAATTCCACTGTCAACATTTGCTAATGTGAAATATGTTTGCCCATAAGAAACCACATTTTTCACATTTGCGAAAATTTTTGGTATTCGCCCCGAATAATTCGTGTTTTTTGCGATGATTTATCGAATTTCGTATCGATGTTATGGAAAATATGAAAGTATCATTAAAAGAGCTGATATATAGCTGAATACCGCAGAGTCCATTAAATGCGGAGCCCCTACTTCGTCGAGGCCGTATTATTTGACAATAAGAAGGACAACTCATTTAATCTACTCAAAGAAGCGATATTTTTCCCATTTGTATGTTACCGATAACTGAAACTTGCTAATGGAATCGCAGAATGTGAAAAATGTAAATGTAAGAAATGTTGAGCATAGTAGAATCAGGCTTTAAACCATTTTGGTCCTAGGCTCTCCTAGTTCACGAAAAGCCCGAGTTTATTTTATATAATCGACGTAGACCGTTTCCACGAAATCAATAATAGTAAATATAATTATATCTTGTCTTTGAACATATCTCGGAGCTTTCATAAGCTGAAGACCCTAAATAATGGGATGTATGATGTCTTAGAGTTTACACATATCTTGAACTTTCCACATTTTGATGCCATTTTATTCCCTGAAAGTAAAAAGAAAATTTCTGGACAGTTGCAGAGTTAATATTTCTTTCCGAGCAGGCAAAATGGTTGTAAAGTTAAGTCAAGTCTCACACAAGGGAAGAGGAAGAGAAAGAGAATATTGGTTTTGTGTATTGTCCGTCCGGAATATATGGTCATAAACATATTCCACATTTGTAAAACGAGTCATTTTTTGTACTTGATTCAAGCCTTTTTGTACTTATTCTAAGAGCTTTTAAAGCTTATATGAAATGAAGTACGAATTACACTTGATTCAAGAATTTTTATCTCGATTCGGGCTCAAAACCTTACAAATTTCTTGGTATAGAATCAAGTACGAAAAGCCATGTCATTAGCCTGTCGTTTTTCTCTCCTGTACTCAAAAAAATGACCTTAACAATTTTTTTCCACGCCCACTAAAAGTCGACCTTCTTTGAAGATCGCAATGTTCAGTCGACAGTTTGAAGGTTTGAAGGTTTGAAGGTCAACCGCAGCGAGAGTTTTCTATCGTAAATAATATTGTGCTTATACTTAAATCTAATACATATATTAAACTGCATAAAATTAATAAAGGTAAAATAAGAAAAAAACATACGGGCCGTTATGTAAATACATGTGTGTACTGAGCAGCGAGTCGACTCGATTTGAATACGTTGTAGCTATTCATAAAACATTGAGGATAACAAGGAACTAAACAAAAGATTGCATTTACATTTCCGAGTTTCCATAAGTAGCAGTGCTCTAGTCTCTAGGGAGTGCCCGACTGGTCGGATACCCTAGCTTTAGTCTATACATAGATAGCGCATTTTCGCTGAGCTCTTGCGTGTTCCTTCCTCAGCCCCAAACTGTGCATAAAAAAGGTTAGTCGTAGCTAGTTAGATTAAGTCAGATGTTTTCAATATTTTCTTGGCATACAAAAGTGTGTATAGGGAGTTTTAGCTGGGTCTAGTTCTTATGAATTGCAAGTTTATCGATTTCAAGATATCGATCTTAATCCATATTATGATATAGCAGGAGATATGGCACACTAATTGTAATTTATATAATATGTACATACTTTTTAAATATTATATAATATATATATACTTTTTAAATATCAAGCACAGCTTTTGTATTTTTCGAGATAGACTCAGGTCGTCGTCGTCGTGTTACATAGATCTCCACGAACCCATTCAACCCCTTTTACCCATTCTGAATGGGTTCAGGGTATAAAAAGGGTCAACGAAATAGCATACATTTATAAGTACACGCGGCTTGGTAGCTTCGACCATTGAGAAAGGCATAGAGACTGAACTCTAGTTAAAATTTTGTCAAAGAACAATAGCCTTGGCTCGCGACTGGCCTCTTACCTGGGCAGGTGGTAGGGGGGGGGGGGGTGGGTAGGCCAAAGACAAGTGTTCGACTTAAGAGTAAGACACATGCTGGTTGTTATCGCCAGGCACGGACCTTGTTCTTCTGAGCCCTTCTTCTTCTTCTTCTTCTTCTTCTTCTTCGTTTGTATGGTCTCGGAATTAAATGAACAAATTCTGTTGCCTCAGTCACGGATTTGCCAATAGAAATTTGCTGCAAAGCACAGTGGATACGACTTGCATAAAATTGGGCGAGACGATCAATACCCATTCCGATTCATCCATTTGATCTCTTTCATATCTGTTACTTTCTGATAATGTCAAAAGTTGGGTATTTGACAAACCAGGCTCTCATCCCCAAAGCTATAGTAATAAACTATATATATTTATAGCTGTCGAGATATCTTGATCAAACTAAGTATTTACAAGTTTCACAATGATTTTTAAATGTTTTCCATCAACATCCAACCACTATCTCTATATACAAACCTGTTTGTCCTGACTGACTGATTGAATGACTGATTGATTGACTGATTGACTGACTGACTGATTGGTGATTAACTCACAGCCAAAACCGTAAGAGCTATATTTTCACGTTAAGACGGGGTTTTGGGAATTTCCACCCGCCAGTGTGGAAAAATCGCGAAAAACGGCTTTATGAAACATTCTGTTTGCCGATCAGGCTTAAACTCATTTTGAAAGATATTTGTTCGAATTCATTAGAGGGGTGTTTCACACTTTTCGGAAACGTAACGGGTTTAAATTCATTTTCAAGGATCTTTTTGAAAAAACATTTGACAAGTGTCTTCATTTCTCGCAGAATCTAAGCTTCCTCGTTGGAAAATGCAATCCAAATATTTTGTTGGGCGAAGTTTCAAGTTTTCTCTTATTTTCAAAGCGTTGAAGTAGAACGTTATGCAAATTACACGAAGAACTTCTGCCATGTGTCTGTCAGGATATTTGCATTCATTTTTTATAAGAGTCTACATCTAATGAAGAAGGTTTTAGTAGAGAATAGTATTCTCGAGTAAAAGTTAAAAATAATAAGAATATTGACTGTTTTTCATTTAGGAATACACATAAAATAGGAAAAATGAGGAAAAAGATGTTGAATAGAGTAAAGAAATGTGTACAAATTTGTAGAATAATAGAAGATAGGATGTAGAGATGGGAAATCTCAGACTCGGTGGGCAAAAATGTATAAGTTCTCGAAGGTATTTTACTGGGAGAGAGGGAGAGAATGTTCGGTGGAGAATACGTGGTACAATCTATTAAATTCTTAATCTGCAGGGGTAAAGGACGATAATTCTCGGTAGGTCTGAACGAAGCAGAGAATATTAGAAGGATCTACTTTTATTTGTAACTTTTTTGATTCGTTATTAAACGGACAAAACCTATCTGAGTCCGAGCTTAGCTCGTCGTCCCGTTTGAGAATATATGTGCAAGTTATGCGATTCACATTGAGATAACTTTGCTAACCGACAATTTATGATTTACCATTTGATTGCAGATCAAAAGTTTGACGAATACTCGAGCGGCTTAGTGCGCGGAATATCAACGCCGACGATCCAAGAATCGGCTACGCTGGCTGGAAACAGTTTTCTGGGCCAGTCGCAGGCGCAGAATGTGGAATGGATAACAGCCATGGGTGATGCCCAACACAACACAGGTAATTCCTATAGATATCATATATATGCATACACACAGTACAGTGAAAACTCTCTTGGCCGGACAGCGAACTCCAATATGGAAGGGAATGTTGGGAAGGATTGGCCAGATTTATTCTAAGTCATGTCAGGTGGAGCCACAATTGAGTAAAATACACTAAATATAAAGACAAGAATAATCGTTTATCGTCTGATGGCATATTTTCAAAAAATTATAAACATATTTTTGACACAGACTGAATTATTTTGAAATGGACGATTGGCGTTAATTATACCCTGAGCCCATTAAAAATGACCCCATAAAGTATATATATTCTTGTCCGTCTGTAGCTGTAGGTCCTCCTAGTCCCCGCGCAGATCGAGTTTGTTTCCGATATTCGATAACTTACCCCGTTTCCAAGTAATCGATAAAAATCGATATTGAAATCCTGTTTTTTTTTTGGCAATTTCGGCAAATAATATGAGCGAGAGTTACCAAACTTGTCATGTAGCTTCTAGAATATTTGTTTTTTCTTACCCATGGGTTTCGAAATAACTAGAATCGTTTTTCAAAAATTACTTTATATATGCAACGTATAAAATTGAAATTTACTCTAGTTTAGCATAGATTCAGCTAATTAAAAATAATGATTACACGGACATTTTTTCGATTATCTATCCATCTATCTGTCCCCACTCCCCATTTGGGTCGAAAGTAACTACTAAGAAGGTATTTTTGCAAAGTTCAAGCATCAAATGGTGGAAAAGGTTGCTCAAAGTTGATATTTGGCAGTCGGGTTAACAAGTGCCAGTTCGCCGGTTCAAATCCAACAGCAATTTTAATATTTTATACATAAATGAGGTCTACTTAATCGCTGGCCTTGCAATCAATTTTAACCAATTTTAATTCGCATTTTATACCATAATTTGGTGCTTCGTGTGGGATCCGTTCCGTTCCGGGAAGAGAAAGAGGGGTATCCGGCTGATTGGAATGGCCGCTGGGAGAGTTTTAACAGTATTTGTATATTGCCAACATTCTAAGTATGTTTAATTAATTTGAGTCGGTTCTCATTTGCATTCTAGAAGATTCGCACAGTTCACAAGGCAGCATTTCTGGAGATGGTAAGTAAAAACCATTTTATGGTCAACCCTTTATTTAGTTAAGTAGCTTCACAGGTGGAAGATGGATACTTAACACATTTAAATTGTATTCCCACCATAGATATATGTCGTCATTTAAGTAGGCTATCGATTACCAGTCACCGATCTCGTGTGACAACAACCGACAGCCTCTTCCCCTTTCCCATGTCCCATAGTCGGAACAAGTCCGTCCGTCCCACCATCCGTCCGTCCGTCCGACCGACCGGTCAATCTTTTGTGGTTTAGCGAGAAATGTCTCAAGTAACTACGTGTTTAATTGAAAATAACGCAGTCCAACCACAAAGGCGGTTTTAGTTTCTTTACTACTCATCTCGTATTGCCGAGTTTTCTCGTTTTCTCGTCTTGTTTGCCCGAATCAAAATAGTGCTTGATAAGTTTTCTCTAACGTATTGGTATGGGTATCTGTATCTGTATCTGTATCTGTATCCGCCGGTTGTGGATTGCGGGTAGCAGGTATTATTGTTGGCCTTCACATGCCTATGAAGCGACCAGGCCCAGAGGCCCACACTGGTCACCCCGATCGTCGAGGTATGCATTACAACTTTGACAAGCGTACTCTAGTCAGAAGTGCCCAACTAGGAGATACCCAGACAAATGGGCGAAAAGGCTAGATAGACTCAGCAAGAATATATGTATGTATATAGCTTGTGCGGTCTGTTAGGTGCATTTCCAAACGACTATCATACCCTTTTTGTATATTTTCACTGGGTATTAAAACACAACAAATAGGGCCAAGCTAATAACCGCACAAATGCAAAACACTTTACTTTACCGTTCACCTGCATCAACAGGTAGAAATAAGCCACAAGCTCGGAACAGTTTCCTTCCTTCTTTAATCTCATGCCTTTTCTTTGGCTGTCATTATTCGAAAACCTTAGAATATATGGATTTGTTCTCATAGTCTTGTAGAGAAAAGTCAGTCAGTTTTAAAGCTTTACTGATGACTAGCGGATATTTCATGGAATTTCCTGTGGAAGCTTAAATTATCCGTACTATCTTATATATATTTGAAAATAAGTTTTATAAGTCCATCGAATAAGGAAACCAAAGGTTAGAATTTACGGCTTCTGTCCATGTTAGTCTTGTGGTGGATTTTCCGAATAGTGTGAAACGCGTATTAGATGAATTTTCACAACGATTTTTGAAAATGATTCTGAATTCAATCGGATAGTGAACAAATTTCATACAACCATTTTCCGCCAATTTACCACCGTTGCGGGTGGAATTACACCAAAATCCGATTTTTTCACGGTTTTCAATGAATGTACCTTTACTTGCGTGTTAAATAAGCAAATATGATTCCTTAAAAAATATAATTTGGCATACATCCATTTATGCCCTGGAAATTTAGTGAAGATCGAATAACAAACAAAAAAGTTATTCAACATTAAATATCCATTTTTATATTATACATAATTTTATCTATAAATTGGGATACATTTTATATGTTTGAGAAATTCAAAAGTAAAATATTATATTGACTGGGGGGATTCTCTGAACCTTTGTCCATCTTATTTTAAGATATGTTTTCATCCTGAATTTCCACTTAGACGGTGTGGATTTTGCAGAAAGCGTGAAACAGCTTTCAAAATGAATTTGATGAACGATTTTTGAGATGATTTTTTCATACTTGCCAGTAGAGCTCTCCAATTGCCCGTCTTAGCATCCACCTTTTTCATATATATATATATATATAGATAAGAGCAATCGAAAGCAGGCATAAACATCTATAATAGGAATTATGCAAATGATATGATTGCGATTTACATAGTAGACCCCACAGCGGAACGCAATTCGACTTTAATTGCAAGATGTAAGAGAGAGAGAGAGAGACATTAAAAGGAAAAGTCAAAGCAGCACAATAATAATTAAAACAATCCCCAAAGGATGTTGCTCGAAAAGTCAAAACATAAGTTAAAAGTGATTTGTCAAATTAAAATGAACAGTACCCACAAATGCGCAGATATGCCGGCTCTTCCTCCACCTATTTGTCGTAGTCGTCGTAACGAAACTCCTGTGGTATATTTAATAACAGTTGAACACACAACTGGGAATTCAGAAATGAGCACAGCTCGGCGTTAAACAGAAACAACATCTGGTACCAGGCCGCTAACGAGTGGATGGGGCACTGAGTACTTCGCGAAAGATGCTTCGTATGATTGATTTTTGCGACAATGATTAGATATGTGTATACACGCGCAGTTGCCGGGAGTCTGGAGGAGGTCATCCCTCGTCTACCTACAAAAGATGATGAGCCTAGCTCTGAAACTGTGCGAGATATAGAGCGAGGCACAAAAGTTGTATCACTTTGTCTAGTTTATGTTACATATTCCGAACCTCAAGCATCAATTTGCTCAAATAACGGGATTGCGATGTTGATTTTTATCGATTTATCGGGACAAGTTATCGATTATCGGACACAACAACGTTCAAAATTGCAAGTCTGTATATATAAAATATATATACAAATTATATGCCCGTTTATTTTCCAATTGTTGTCCAAATATGGGAGATTGACTCGGATATGCTTCCTTCGGCCTTATATACATACACATTCCCTCAAACATTTTTGCCATTTTTTACCCATTTGCCAAGATGTACACAGAAAGAAACGCGGCGGGCTTAAAAATAGTTAATGTATCTTAATTAAAGACCAACAAATGATTAATAAAAGTATTTTTGATCATAAATTTAGTATAATTTAAGTTCGAGAGCTCTTGAACCAAGTTTAATATATACTTATTTCAAGCTCGAACTGACATTTTATTAGGGACAAATTGGTATTATATAAAGAATCGTTAAATTTTGATTCAATACTATTACGTTCTTAAATTCAGCCCAATAAGGCTGCACAGCTTAAGTCGAGTTTTTTCGTACTTAAAAAGTCATAATAGAAGTAAGAATTATTTAATTTAAGATAACCTGAAAGCTACCAGCATTGGTTAATAAATAGATAAATAAGAATTTCGTACTTAAATCAAGTATCAAGACTTATCGTACTTTTATTAACGGTTCTATTTGATTCAAGTACGCAATTCTTGATTTTTCCCGCTGTGTACTCCCGTGCTACCACTACAAGCATACGTATGTATGTATATGTTTATGTGTATAACTGTATAAGTGGATCATGAACATCGTCCCCTCCCGCAGGTAGCTATTTTAATGAAAGCGCGGAATCAGAAACTCGACAAGTTAGCAATAATCGAATTACATATAAATATTTAATCAGCGGGGAGAAGAGCTCACCGACTTTGCGGTGGTTAATGGATATAAGATTTATAAATAATTTGGGCATGCGCTACTTAGAAGTCTCGGCTGCAAAATACAACAATATTTGCCTATATGTACATGATGCAGTATACACTCACATACATATGAACGTGTGTCTGTGTATGAACAGGAAAACCCGTTTGTTAATATTTTTGTCGCTCACATAATTACTTTGTTTATATGTGACAACTTGATGTCATCATCATACATACTCATAGCGCACACAGAAGAAAAAAAAACGGCAATAAAATTTAGTACAGCGAGCAGAGAGCACGGGATGCACACGCAGACAAACAAAAAAACAACACACTAACACAAACACAAACAATCACAACAAGAAAGCCTAAGCGGTGTGTGTGTATAAGCGAGATGGAGAGATAAAGAAACACAGCGATAGAGAGCTGTAAATGCTTAAGTGGTAGAAACGAGAAACGACAACTGTGATTGGTGCTAAGCACATCTTGGTCTTGGTGCTGATTGGCGGAAATCCCACTGCGTGCTTACTGCGTTCTTCTCTCTCACTCTCACTCTTTCGTTGTGCTGTGTTGTGTTGTGTTTGCGCGTGGGTGGGCAGCAACCTCTTGCTCCGTCCCAGAAAAAAAAAACAACTTATTTTTGTACGAAGCTTTAATAATAGACCAAAGACACTTATTCGAAAGACCATGAAAAATATATTTAAGATGCATTAAATCTGATATCGATTGGAAATCACTTTTGTTGAATGAAAAATATATTTTAAAATACAAAAAACTCAATTATTATGATAAGTAACTGGAGGATATGATTGCGCAATGAAACAGGTCTTCATAAAGCGCTTAATTCGGGATAAGTGAGAGAAAAAAACACAAGCCTTCTGCTGTGTTAAAAACCAAAGCAGGAATACACACACACACACACACACACACACACACACACACACGCACACACATACATACATGCATAGATACAAAGCCAGTATCTGACCATAAGCCATGGGCTTAAACATTTAGCGCCAATCCAAAAGAAGGCGACACCAACTGCCCACAACACCACCGCCCCCCCGTATCCTCCCTCATGCAGCAGCAGCAGCAGCAGCCGCAGCACCAGTCAGAGGTAGTCGGTATGCAGAGCCCAGTTCTAAATAGGAAGCAAATGACGCTACGCTGTGGCTGTGGCTGTCTCTCGGCTGTTTGGTTCGTCTTCATTGGCTCGCTGCAGTGAGTCGTGGTCGTGGTCGGAGTCGGAGTCGAAGTCGGGCAGTCGTGAAGTATGCGCAAGCCGATGTGGTTGGGCGGTGCGGTGCGGTGGCGAAACAAGGACCAAGGACACGCTCAGCACGCAGTACACACACGAGCTGCAATCGCAGACGCACGCTCACACAGACACACACACATACACGACGACTCACACGCACAAGCACACGGACACGCACAGACAACACACAGATAAGAAACAAAACGTGCGCAGGATCTCGGCGACTGAAAGCAAACAGTCCGGAAAAAATGGCTAGAAATATTTCACGGCACTGAAAACGAAACAAAAAACCAAAATTTATAATAAGTAAAACAACGGCAACGGCGACGACGACGACGACGACGCAAAATATTTGAACAAAAAAGAAAAAAGGAAAAGAGCAAAAAAAAAGTAGAAAAAGGAAATTGGCTCGGTTCGCTTTCACATGAATGCCATGCACGAAAATAGACACCGACAAA